AATTCTCAAGCTCCACATGTTCCCAAGAACAACTTTCAAGGATCTTTTCAACCAAAGAATCAGTTTGCTCAGAATCAGGGTTTTGGTCAGCAACAGCAACCTTTTCAAGGTCCTAGTTTCAGTTCACAACAGCAAAAGGCACCACCAGGGTTTGGTCCACCACAATTCCAACAGCAAGCGCCTGTTCAACAACAGTTTCAGCCACCAACTGTTCAACAGCAGCCACAGATGGGTACAGATATGGTTGGTATTCTGCAACAACTACTTCAGGGTCAACAGATCTTTGCAAGCCAGAATGCAGCCATGCAGCAGGAAATCAAGGAACTGAAGCAGAACCAGGTCTCAAGCTCAAGGAACCAAGGTCACCTACCTGGAAAACCAGAACCCAACCCCAAGGAATATGCCAAGGCCATTACACTGAGGAGTGGAAAGGAGTTACCTGGTATTGAGAACAACAATGTGATCATTGAGTACAATGATCAAACTGAGGGGGAGGCAGCCTTAAAAGATGATCAAGTTGCTGAGAAACCAAGGACAGAAAAGGGCAAAGAGGTAGCAAAGGAACCAGAACCAGAAAAGAAATATGTGCCACCACCTCCATACCAACCAAAGCTCCCATTTCCAGGGAGATTCAAGAAGCAACTAGTGGACAAGGCAAGAGCTGTATTTTAGAAGGCACTAAATGAGACACCACTCACTATGCCTCTCATTGATGCATTCTTAATGATGCCAAAGATGGGGAAGTTCTTAAAGGATGCCATTCTGAACAAGACAAAAGAGCTTCAAGGCATGGTGGTACTAAGTCATGAATGCAGTGCTATCATCAGAAGAAGTCCATTCCAAGAAAGTTAACTGACCTAGGGAGTTTCACACTCCCTTGTGCCATTGAACCTCTTCTATTCTCTGGATGTCTTTGTGATCTAGGAGCATCAGTCAGCTTGATGCCATTCTCCATAGCAAAGAAGCTGGGCTTTAGAGTCTTCAAACCTGCAAGGATCTCTCTTATCCTTGCAGATAGATCAATTAGATTGCCTGTTGGTATGTTGGAAGATTTACCTATTAAGATTGGTGGTTTTGAGGTTCCAACAGATTTTGTTGTGCTGGAAATGGATGAGGAACCAGTAGATCCTCTTATCTTGGGCAGGTCATTCTTAGCAACTGCAGGAGCTATTATTGATGTAAGAGGTGGGATAATAGAGCTTCAACTTGGGTCTGAAAAGGTCAAGTTTGATGTGAATGAGATGATGAAGAAACCCACCATTGAAGGTCAATGTTTCTATGTGGAGACAATGGATCAGCTGGCTGATGAGTTGCTAGAGGAGCTGAACACTGAGGATCCTCTTCAAGCTGCTCTAACTCAAGAACATGGAGACAATGGGCTCTTAGCTGAAGCAAGTGAAGGGTATAAGCTGTATTTGGACAATGCAAGAGAGCTGGGTCCTGAGACAAGGTTTTTGGAACTGGGACAAAGTGACTCTGAGGTCTTGGCTATCAAAGGATCAGACACCAGCCAAAGCAGCTTGGACCAGGATTGGAATGAGGCTGATGCACCCCCTGTTGAGCTCAAGCCTCTACCAACAGGGCTCAGGTATGCTTTCTTGGGTTTAAACTCCACATATCCAGTAATCATCAATGATAGCCTATTAGAAGATCAAGAGAGTGCATTACTTAGTGAGATAAGAAAGTTCAGGAGAGCCATAGGGTATTCTTTGGCTGATATTAGAGGGATCTCTCCTGACATTAGCACCCACAGGATCCACCTAGAGGACCAATCTATGTCCTCTATTGAGCATCAACGACGACTTAACCCCAACCTTAAGGAAGTGGTTAAGAAGGAGATACTAAAACTTCTTGAAGCAGGGATAATTTTCCCAATCTCTGACTCAAGATGGGTGTCTCCTGTTCATGTTGTGCCCAAGAAGGGTGGGATCACAGTGGTTAAAAACGAGAAGGATGAGCTTATAGCTACTAGAACTGTCACAGGACACAGAATGTGTATAGACTATAGAAAGCTCAATGCAGCCTCTAGGAAGGATCATTTTCCTTTGCCTTTCATTGATCAGATGTTAGAGAGGCTTGCAAACAACCCCTTCTTTTGTTTTCTCGATGGGTACTCGGGGTTCTTCCAAATTCCCATAGATCCCCGAGATCAAGAGAAAACAACATTCACATGCCCTTATGGCACATTTGCATACATGCGAATGCCTTTTGGTCTCTGTAATGCCCCTGCCACATTTCAACGTTGCATGATGCATATCTTCTCTGACATTATTGAAGAGAAAGTTGAGGTGTTCATGGATGACTTTAGTGTCTATGGCTCCTCCTTCTCGGATTGTCTCTCTAATTTGTCACAGGTCTTGGAGAGATGTGAGCAGCATAACTTGGTGTTGAACTGGGAGAAGTGCCAATTCATGGTGCAGGAAGGAATAGTTCTTGGGCACAAGATATCTGAGAAGGGCATAGAGGTTGAAAGAGCAAAAGTGGAAGTAATGGTGAACCTGCAAACCCCCACTTCAGTCAAAGGGATAAGGAGTTTCCTTGGGCATGCAGGGTTTTATAGAAGATTCATCAAAGACTTCTCAAGAATTGCCAGGCCCTTGACAAGGCTGTTGTTTAAAGAAGTGGATTTCATCTTTGATGCTGAATGTGAAGAGGCCTTCAAGATGATCAAGGATGCATTAGTCAGTGCACCAATTGTTCAAGCCCCAGATTGGTCCCTTCCTTTTGAGGTCATGACAGATGCATCTGATTTTGCAGTTGGAGCTGTGCTTGGCCAGAAGAAAGATAAGAAGCTTCATGTCATCTACTATGCTAGTAGAACACTTGACTCTGCACAAGAGAAGTATGCTACTACTGAGAAGGAAATTTTGGCAATAGTCTTTGCCTTTGATAAATTCAGAAGTTACCTGGTGGGATCAAAAGTCATTGTATATACTGATCATGCAGCCCTCAGGTATCTGATGACCAAGAAAGATGCTAAGCCAAGACTATTGAGATGGGTTCTTCTACTTCAGGAGTTTGATATGGAAGTACATGACAAAAAGGGTATAGAGAATGGAGCTGCAGATCATCTCTCTAGGCTGAGAATTGACTCTGAAGTGCCTCTTAATGACAGTCTTCCTGAGGAATCACTGATGGTGCTCCATTCTTATTTGGAGTTTGAAGAAGTAGACAGCATTCAAGAGAGGAGGATGCCTTGGTTTGCAGACATTGTGAACTATCTTGCTTGTGGAGTGGAACCACCTGAATTAGATGCTTACCACAGGAAGAAATTCTTCAGAGAAGTTCAAAGATACCATTGGGATGAGCCCTACCTCTATGTCCTGAACAAAGATCAGCTGTATAGAAGGTGTCTTGCTGAGGAGGAGATGCAACCTGTGTTGCAAGAGTGTCATGGTTCAGCTTTTGGAGGTCACATGGGAGCATTCAAGACTGTGGCCAAGGTTCTTCAGAGTGGGTTTTGGTGGCCCACAATGTTCAAAGATGCTCAGTTTGTGGTTTCAGCATGTGATGCCTGTCAGAGGCATGGGAACATATCAAAGAGGAGTGAGATACCTCAAAACCCAATTCTAGAAGTTGAGATCTTTGATTGCTGGGGGATGGACTTCATGGGGCCTTTCATTTCATCCTATGGGAATCAGTATATACTTGATGCTGTGGACTATGTGTCCAAATGGGTTGAGGCCATTGCTTCCTCTACCAATGATTCCAAGGTTGTAGTGAAACTGTTCAAGGGCATTATCTTCCCAAGATTCGGAGTTCCAAGGGTTGTCATCTCTGATGGAGGATCTCATTTTGTGAACAAGACTTTGGAGGGTTTGTTGAGAAAGCATGGAGTGAAACACAAGGTAGCTACTCCATATCATCCTCAGACTAGTGGCCAAGTTGAGGTATCTAATAGACAGATCAAGGCCATTCTTGAGAGGACTGTTAACTCAAGCAGAAAAGATTGGAGCAAAAGGCTAGATGATGCATTGTGGGCTTATAAGACTGCCTTTAAAACTCCAATTGGGACATCACCTTTCAATCTGCTATATGGGAAGAGCTGCCACCTTCCTGTTGAGTTGGAGTACAAGCCTATGTGGGCTGTGAAGTTGCTGAACTTTGATATCAAGACAGCTCAAGAGAAGAGGATCATGCAACTCCATGAACTTGAGGTGATTAGGCTTGAGGCTTTTGAGAGCTCAAAGATCTATAAGGAGAAGACCAAGGTTTTGCATGATAAAAAGATTCTGAAAAGGGAGTTCAATAATGGTGATCTGGTGTTGCTGTTCAACTCTAGGCTTAAGTTGTTTCCTGGAAAACTTAAGTCTAGATGGTCTGGTCCCTTTAAGGTTCTTGAAGTCAGGCCATATGGAGCTGTTGTGTTAGAAGGAAAGAATGGGCAAGAGTTTGTGGTAAATGGCCAGAGGATCAAGCATTATCTGGTTTCACAAAAGAAGGAGGAAGCTACATCAGTTCCCCTTCTTGATCCACCAGCCTTTTAAACAGGTTTCCAAAGTCAAACTTAGAGACTTTAAACAAAGTGCTCTTGGGAGACACCCCAAGCTTATCCTTTGTAAATATGCTTTTGATCTTTTGATTCCTATTTTTTTATGTTTTAGGATGTTTTGATGGGTTTGGTTAGTGTCTACAGGTTATAGGTTCGAGTCTGAACCCTTGGAAAGTGAATGCAAGATGAAAAGAGATGAAGGAATGGAGAAAAACTGTGCTCGGCCTTGAGCATGGTTACCAGCCACGGTCAGAAACCAGGGCGTGGCAGGCGTTTTAGTCAAGCCACGAGGATGAATCACGGTCTGGGACTTGGCCGTGGCAAAAGAAGCACAGGTTCGGTGATTGCCACGGCCTGGAGACATGGAGCGTAAGAGACAGTGGCAAGAGGAAAAGAGGAATGAACAAGGCTCAGACATTGCCACGGTTGAGATTGCCACGGGAATGATCAAGACCGTGGCAAAGTAGAAAGAAATGCCCTTGGTTCGGTGATTGACACGGGCTGGCAGACACGACTAAAGAACCTGGCCGTGGCAAAGAAAATGGTGCACAACTTTGATTCGGGGTTTGACACGAGGGAATTGCCACGGGAAGAAACCAGGCCGTGGCAAAACAAAGGTGGAACGAGCAACATTCGGAGATTGCCTCGGTTTAGTTGCCACGGGAGAGGACCAGACCATGGCAAAGCAAGAGGAAGGGATGCAGATGCTCGGAGAATGACACGGTCTAGAGGACACAGGCTAAAGGGTTGGCCGTGGCAAGGAATAAGAAGGTTTGACCGAGGTTTGACATTGCCACGGTCAAGTTGCCACGGCCACACCAAGACCGCGACAAAGAAGAGACACAAACACATTCTTGACACAGTCACGTGACACGGTCAACCAGGCGCGACCAGATTTTGAATTTCAGTTGACCGTACGGACGTTGACCGGTCAAAGGACGCGCCAAGCCAGCTGTTCCCCACCTCTCTTTCTTCTTCATCGCGAGTTTGCCCCCTTCTCTCCATTCTTGAGCTTTAAACTTTCATATCTCTCTCGTTCCTGCATCAAATTGAGAAATTCCAACTGCATTGAACTCGTAATCCTGTCTAGTTTCTTGCTGCACATTCGTTTTTCACTCGAAACTTGAAGATTCCAAGGTATTTAGTCTGTTAAAACTCACCTTTTCCATGCTTTAGTGTACTGTTCATGAACAGAAAAACAAATGGAATCGATTTTAATGGGCTTCTTGATACCTTGGAATCATTTTGTGAGTATTGTGCAAGTAGAATGGATAGGAAATTCATGGATCTTGCTTGAGAATAACTGATATGTCTATATTTTACATCATTTAGAGTGCATTTTAGAGTCCTCATCATGTGTTTTCCCATGTAAATTGAGTCTTTAGGCATGAAAATAGGATTTAGGGCTTGCATTAGGTCCCAAAGAGTTTTGCATGTTTTGAGGTCTTTATCAGGTGCTTTGGGAGTCATTTGGAGCTTAAGAAGAGGAGCAGAGAAGAAGACGGTGAAGAAAACGGTCAAAAATGGTGAAAACCGCTTAGAGGAATTTCTCGGCCAAATCGTGTACCGGACGGACAGAAACCTCGGTCAAAATCCTTACCGATCGCTCATTACCAGCCAAAATCCCTACCGATCGTCCAACCACGACCAAAAAGCTTACCGATCGTTCAGCACCGACCAAAGTCCGTACCGATCGACCAAAGTCAGCCTGAGTCGAAGATCAGGTGTTAATACCGCGGGTCGAGTTTTGGCCGAGGCGAAAGAATTTTTACGACCAAAAAGCTCACCGCGGTACACAGCCCTCGGTCATTTTTCTTACCGCGGGAAGCTTTTCTCGACCAAAATCTGTCCTTGTCTGCACAATTCAAAGATCAGAAATCCGGGGAACCTTCCGGTCCAAATCAGTTGGCGGGGTCTTCAGCAAAGTTGGAGATAATCAAACAAAGATCCCAGAACAGTTGGAATCATCCAATTCGGACCAGTAGGGAGAAAGATACAGCTTCCGGAAGATGCATCAACATTACGCGCATCCGAGAACTGAACGGCGAAGTACAAAGGTCACGGCGGACGGAGCCTTTCCAGACCAAATCAGCTTACCCGGTCTTCATCAAAGTTTGAGATCTGTGAGAGACCTTTTCAGAACAGTAGGGATCGCTCAATTCGGACGAGTGGTTTGAAAGATAAAGTCTCCGGAGTTCACATCGGTCCGAACAGCTTATTTTCCGGTGATTTCGATGCGGTTCAAAGATGTGAAATCCAGGAAGACTTCCACTACCCAAGCTCCGACGGTTTCTTCACCAAAGTTCGAGTTTATTGAGTCACCTTGACTATGAAACTGGTCTCAGAGCATTCGGAGTCGTGGGTCGAAAGTTACTGCTTCCGGAGGGCGACATGGTCGATACGGGCCCAAATATGTTGCGATACGCGCTAAGTGTTTCTTCAGGGCTCGGTATCATTGCCTCGACATCGGCCAAGTCAAGGCTCATATTTTGGAAGTATCCTGAGCTAGGCCTCGTACTGATACCTCGGCACGTTGGGATCAAGGCATGCACACGTAAGAATGGAGCTGGAAACGACTAAGTGTTGAACATGCACCTCGGTGTAGCGACCTCGGCGTGCATGCCGGACCCTGTTCTCCCGAACCCCTCGACGTCCAAGCGCCTCGGCATTTCATGCCGAGGTCCATTGTCACAAGCCCAGAATCAAGAACAAAGCTGCTCAAGAACACACACGTGAAGATGGATCAAAGACTAGGGTTCATGCATGTTCTTGACGTGTTCTTCACGAGATCTTCATTTGGATCTGGACTCACGTGCACTCCTCGACATGAAGACCTCGGCTTCACTCTCCGACACACCGTGGCACTCACCCATCAACCCAAGAACGCGGTTCAGTACCCGGTTTGTTCCGGGCTGACCCGCGACACTTTACCTTTGCTATATATACATTTTGAGACTAAAAACCTAATCATCTTATCTCTTATCTGTTTTTAGCTTTAAGAACTTGCCTCTTTGGTGAAACTTGATCATTCTAATCCGATATCTCGTTTTTGCATGAAAAATCTTGTTCTTTCTTTATTTCTTTTATCATCTAACATTAAACTCCTCATCATGACCAGCTACACGTCTTGCAAAGGACTTAGTGAGCTCGTTATGATTAGTGAGTAGTCGTTTAAGCGGCTTTAGATGAGTAGATTAGGGTGCTTTCAAGGTAGATTAGTGGGTTTAGGTGTCTAGTCTTGCATGTTTCATTCTTTAACCGACGAGATCTCTAGGCTGGATCCAAGCACATCACTTGAGGTTCAGATCTGAGACATATCTCGCATCAAAAGTGTTTGTAGAAATGTCTGAACCACTCGGTTAAGGGTTTAAGAGTCTTTCATCGCGAGAGTGATAGTTTGTTCTCTTAAATGACATTTTTGAACTGATTCTTATTGCTGATTGATTCGATGCTTCTCAAAAGACATTTTTGGTATGAAGGAGAATCAGTTTAGATGCTTAATACTTTCATGAGAAGATTAACATGCCTTGAGTTCAAAGTTAAATGAAACCGCTTGATGTTTTGATTCATTAACCAACTAGTTGAACTTGGAAGCACCCGAGTCAAGTATCTCGTCTAAAGTCCCTTGCTTTATTGCATATTATCATCATCTGAATCGTTTAGTTATTATTTGCATCCTGTCTCTGTTTAGATCTAATCATTTGCTTTACCTTTCATGCTTAGTCGTTTGTTACTTAGCTTAGTTCGAAACCTTCACCTTTTGTCTTGACTTAAATGAACAAACATCATAGTCTAGTGTCTCGTTGACTTGTCTGGATTGATACCTCTTTGTGCTACTTCGACAAAGGGGATTGATAGCCCTGAGACCTAAAATGTCTTATCTATCAATAACCTGTTCTTGGAATTTTTGAGAATTTTTTCTTGAAATTCATCAAGTGTATCGATTTTTTTTTAGAATTGTGTTTCAAGCTGAACTCTTTGTGTGCATTGATTCTTGCCATTGTTCTGAGTTTATTGAGTTTTTAATCAGCTTAAAATACATTCTTTTCAAGAGAAATCGATTTGTACCACTCATGAACTTGGTGAAATTTTTGGAAAACTCTTGTTGTTCTCTTGTTTTGGTACTTACAGCTGTTTGAGAAAATGCAGGATGGCAGGAACAAAAAGACAAGCAGCCATGGAGAAATCTAAAAAAGAGAAAGCTGGAGCTTCAGAGGATCAGATTATGCCTTTTGGGCATAAGGTTTTCAAGAAACAGAAAAAACAGAGAAAGCCAAAGAATCCAGCTGAGAAGAAAACAAAGAAGGTTGCTGCACCAAAGAAAACAAAGGCCTCTACTTCAAAAACTTCTGGTAAAGAGCTGGCATTGGTTGAGGTCGTTCACAGGGCAGGAAAAGAGGTGGCTTTGGCTGAGGATGAAGAAGGAACTGAGAGTGATCCTGAAACAGCATTGAAGCGGGTTAAGAAAGCAATGACAAGTTCTGAGGACAGAGAACCAACTTTTGATGACTACTTTGCTATGTTCAGGGGTGTAAAAGTGCTGCAAACCAAGTTCCCTGATATGGAGCTGCTGAGGAAGATGGGAATTCTTGAAGAGGTTCAGCTCATTTTCAACAACATGGGGTTTGGTGGATTCTTTGAGATGAGAGATGTGGCTCATGATGGTGTTACACAAGAGTTTCTTGCATCCCATCAAGTTTGTGGATATGGCCCAAGAGATGAAAGAATCAATGAGGGCAATGGTCTTGGGCACATAGAGTTCACAATAGATGGTACACAACACCATGTAAGCTTCAAGGAACAAGATGAAATCTTTGTTTTTCCAAGACCTGCACAAGAACAGACACTGAAGTTCACATAACCTGATCACAATTGCTTTTGGGAGCTTCAGAGGAGGAAGATGCAAGAGTTCATGGATAAGAAACCCAGCAATCCGCTATGCTCACAAGGTGCTTTGCCAAATGTTCTTTACCAAGCACAATGATGGAGTGGTGCATCTAGCTGATATGGAGCTACTGGGTATGGGTCTTCACCCTCTCATCAGTCACTTGAAGAGCAAGAGAGAGTTTCACCTCCCACACTACATCCCATCTAGTGGTGCATTCTTGGCACGCCAAATGCTGATATACAAGGACATTGCTTGGAGTGAGGGTAAAAGAAAGAAGCTCACTAAGTTGCGCAATGGATGGCTAGTGACAAAGATTCTGAAAGCAAGAGGTTTTGTCTTTGACGATGTTGAGGTCAGGCCTGAGTTGATTGATGAAGCTACCCTCACCAAAGTTGGGTTTTTAAAAGAAAGCAATGGTGAAAACTTCTTGTACACCTTCAAGCTCTTGCAAAATGACAAGATTCATGTTCTGTTGCCACACCCAGTGCCACACCCAGCCATCACCACTCTCACCGAAAGGCACAATGTCTCCTTTATTTTCCTAAAAGATCAGCTCTATAACCCAGCCATTCACCCTCCAATTCCCAAATGCAAGAGAACCGCTAGTTCTAAGGGTAAAGAGCCTGTTGAAGAGGAGGACACAACTAGGACCACTGGTTGTGAGAATGAGGAGCCAAGAGATTTTGAAAGAAGGATGGGAGCAGGGAGGTATCACTTTGATCCTTACTTTTGGGGTGAGCCTGACTATCACACAAGGAAGCTGTATTCCAGAGTTAACACCCTTCAGAAATGGTGCAAATGGCAAGACAAAACGATCAACAAGCTAATTGACTGTGTTAGGCAGCTTAAGAAGAAGGTTAAGAAGCTCACAGCTCCAGCCACCTCACCCAAACGAGATACAGGAGAAGAAGTGGGAGAAAGCTCAGCTGCTCATGACCTCATGCTACCACCAGGGAAAGAAGATTGGGTGAACCCAGCCACAG